AGATATTTGTACCCCACCGTCATACATGCATAGCTGTGTTATTCACTATGTCCAAAAGGTAGAAGCAAGTCAAGTGGATTGACAGATGAACAGACAAGCAAAATGTCATAAAAATGTGCAAGGGAACACTATTCAGCCTTCGAAAGCAAGGAAACTTGGGCACAAGCTACAATGTGGATCTGACACATCTGTAAATGGAATAATCCAGCCACTAAACGACAAAAACTACATGTTCTCACTTACATGAAGTAGCGTAACTAGTCACACTCAAAGAAATGAAAGTAAAGTGACAGATGCCAGGGGCTACAGAGAAGGGAAATGAGGCATTGCTGTTTAATGAGTATAGAGTTTCAGTTTTACAAGACAAATATTCCCCTAAACAACAATATGAATATATCTAACAGCATACTAAGTGTACTAAGCTGTATACTTAAAAATAGCTGAGGGTAAATTTTATTTTATCATAATTAGAGGCAATTATAATAAATGTTCTTAGAAATACAGTAGATAAGGAATGAGACATTGCTCTTAGTAGTGAACATTTTTATGTTTCATGAAGACTTAAAAAAAAAATATGGACTGAGCCTTAGCTAGCATTGCAAGGCCTTGTGCTCCTCCCCCACACTGAAGGCAAAAAATCACTAATAAAGAAGTTGGAAGGTAAAGTTGAGGTAATGATCCAGAAAAACAAATAGTTCTAAAATGGAAAACTAAAAAGAACATTTTGAAAAATTAGAGGATCAATTCAAGAGATGCAAATAGAATACATCTGGAACGAGAAAAAGAAAAAAAGAGAGAAAAAATGATCACAGAAGTTTCCCCAAAATTGACTTCCAAGATTAAAAGGACTGATTTCTAGATTAAAGGGCCTACAATAAGTGCACTGTGAAACTTTAAGCCTCTGGAAAATCCAAAAAAAAAAAGTTCAGAGAGAAAAGTTGTGCCGTCCACACAGGATCAAGTGCCATGTCACTTTTAATCTTCATTTATCCACTTTCTTGTAGTGCTGGGGATGGAACCCAGGGCCCTGTGCATTCTAACCCAGACTCCAACCAAGCCCAACAATCAAAGCTACTGGAGTAAATGTTCAGCCAAAGCAAGGAAATAAAGTGGGGAGGGGGAGGGAGAGGAGGATCTAGAAAACAGGATCCCGACACAGGAAAAAGCAAAGGAAATCCCCAGGATGATAGCAGAGCAAAGACCATAGTCCTCAGATGTATGGTAGTCCCCAGAGCAGACAGGAGTCCAGAGAGGAGGAGGCTCCATGAGCACAAAGAGCTAGAAAGAGCTCCTGTGTGCAACCAGGTCAAGAGGGGTTGGTGGGTTCTGTGGATGAATTAGTGATAGGTACACAAGTAAGTTTTGTTTTAAAAACGAGGTAATTACTAATTTCTGAAAAAAACAAAAATGTTGTCCAATAAAGAAAACAGAATCATGGCACAATTTAAGGCTCAGCTTTGAACAATATTTACTGAGTCATAATAATTAAATACTGAATACTGGTTCAAGAAAATGTTCTAACTAAACTAGGGGGAAGGAAGGAAGGAAGGAGAAAAACATGAGATGGAGCTAAATGGCAAAAATTCTCATGCTCTGGGCTGAAGAAAGAGTGGCTCAAGTGGTAGAGTGCCTGCCTACCAAGGGCAAGGCCCTCAGTTCAAACCCCAGAACTTCCCAAAAAAATAAAGAAAAATAAGAATTCTCTCCTATCATAGGGAAGCAGTAGATAATGATTTAAAAACTAGAAAATCTGAATTAGAAGTGTTACTTAGAAACATAGAAGCACATTAAAAACCTGACATCTAAAATGTGATAGAGTGGCTGCCTTTGGAAGTGAGAATTGGCTGGTGGAGTGGCTCAAGTGGCACAGTGTATGCCTAGCAAGCGTGAGGCCCCGAGTTCAAACCTCATATCACCAAAAAAAAAAGAGAGCAAGAGAGAGAATTTACACTAAGGAAGGGTGGGGTAAAGGATTGATTTTTTATTATTATCATAAGCCTACTATAAGCTGTCTAATTGACTTTTAAACTAATATAAGTATAAATACAGTAGAAATAAAAACCTGGGGTGTAGAGGGGACTGACTGCATGTCAATCTATGAAGTAGTGATGACTTGACCTGAGGCAGGGAGATTGTGCTGTCACTGGAGAGAAGGGAAAACTCAGCACAGGAAATAGCCTTGACCTCTGCCTCCATTAATGGGACCAGTCCACCTTTCTAGTTATCTGAATAGAAGTGTTCTGAGTTCTGGGTGCAGTTGACCTTTCTAAAGGAACAAGTTTCGATAAAGCCCAAGACCACTGTTGGGGTTGTAAGGAGAAACCAAGGCAGCAGACAGTGAACTGAGTAGGAAGAGGAGAAAATCCACATCCAGAAGAATGAGTGACTAACCATGTGACAGAGGTACTGAAAGTATTAAAAACCTGATTACAAAGAGGTTAACAATGTCAAATGCTGCTTTGAGGTGGGGATATTAACATAAAAACACACTGTTGCACTGGCTGTGAACTCTTGTAGTCCTCAGAATTTTCCCAAAGAGCAATGGGAACAGAGGCCACACCCCCAGGATTAAGGAAAGTGAGCCAGGCTGGGGATGGAGTGGAGCTCTCCCTGTGCTGTGTACATCTGGACTCCTCCATCTGTGGTCCCCTAGGAGGTAGAAGTGGACAAATAAAATACAGGCAAGATTTGGGACTTACTTGAATTCAAACTTACAGGCTGAGACTTTGCCTCTGGCCTTTTCCACCAGCCCTCTGCCATTGTGGGAAGGAAACCCCCAGCAGCAAGAGCAGGAGGGTCACCCTAGCAGAGCCAAGGCAGGACCAGGCAGGATTTGTCAGTGACTTTCAGGTCAAAACCACACAAAGTTCTTTCTCTAAAAGGGATTTTGTTGAGTTCACGTCTCTGTTGGCCCAAGAGGCAAGTCTGGCACCATGAAAAGTACTCCCTGGCCTTGCTGGGCCTGTTTCTTCCTGGAAAATGAGGCCACAGCGCAGGTGGGAACAGCAGGGGAGCTTTCTGTCCTTCTTATGTGAGTTTTCACCACAAATGAAAATTACTTTTATAATCAGCAAAAGGCAATCATGACATGACCATATTGCAAAAGAAACAACCCTGGGGTGGACCAGCTCATATGTGGGGCACCCTCCATTACAAGTTCCAGCAATTCTAAGTAATTTCCTGTTCTTTATTTGCATATTGTCTTAAGGGCATGCAAGACCCCTTGTTGAGGGTCATTTTTGTTTTTGTTTTTGTTTTTGTTTTCTCCCAGGGATTCTAAACCCAGCCATTCACCATTGTGGCCTAGAATGAGCACACAATCTTGTCTCTGTCCCCACTCTTGCCTTTCATAGGGTTTGGCTTGGCTCTGAATTTAGCCCCATCCGGACCCTGGCTCTCTCCTGACCTGGTGGGCACCCTAGAAGACCTGTCCAGAAGCCAAGGGAAGAGCTTAAGCTCAAGGCATTAGGACTCTGGGGCCCAAATCAAAGCTGTTCCAAGATTCAAGGGAGCATGTGGCTTAACAAACTCTGAAAGGGGACATGTGTCCTACACCCTGGGCTAGCTATCTTTCAGCACACTAGAACCCCACTCCATCAAGAATCAGCCCCTTCCCCTTAGGGATCCCAGGAGAGGATGTAGCAGATAAGCTAATATTGGGGGAAGGACAGGAAGGTGAGGACCAGTTCATGGGTCACTCAGACCTCAGTGGAGCCCTAGCTTCACCTCTGACCAGCCTTATGACCTTGGGACAGTCATATAACAAAGCCTGCGCTGGCCAGAGGATTCAGTGAGGTCAGTAATGCTGAACACCTGGGAACACATAAGGCCTTCACAAATACGAGTTATCTCTTGAACCCTCAGGGAGCCCACAGGCTGCACTTTGGCCAGAGGAAGGCCTTTCTTCTGCAACTTCTACAGACCCTGTCCAGAAGCTTCTACAGCCACCTCCCCCCCCAAAAAAAAGACTATCTTCCCTACTTCTGTCCAGGCCACCAGCCTGGAGCAGGGACCGGTCTCCCAGCTTAGGCGCAGCGACCTGGCCTACGACCTTGGAGGAACCTGGAAGAAAGCTTCACCAAGCGACAGTGCTTTTCCACTGCACTGCTCGGCCACCTCAGCTGGCTTTGTGTTGTGCAGACAGGAGGCAAAGTGCGCCAGGCCGGCCCCATCAGGAGTCCACCCCAAATCCTACACTTAGGGATGGGGGTAGGGATATGCTGTGTGTGGGTGAGGGGCAGCCGTCAAAATCCCAGAAACCGAAGGGGGGCGGGTCTCAGAACGCGCAGTGGGGAGCTTGGAGCTCACTAGTGAGATCAGAAGAATTTGCATTGGCAAATGCCCTCCCGAACATTTCGGGGGATTCTTGTCCCTTAAAAAGCCCCTCTCTCCTTTCCCCTCCAAAGACAATGATTAAACCCGTTCCAGCGTGAGGGAGCTGGGTCCCGGGCAACGCGAGCCTGCGCGCGGTGGGGGAGGGCGAGGGGAGGGGACAAGAGAGCTAGCGGTCCCGCCCGGTGATGTAGGCAGCCTGGGGAGGTGGAGCCGCGACGCCTGAAGGAGTCCCCACCGCAGCCGCGCTCTTGGTCTACCCCACCGAGCAGCCGCCACCCCCGGCTCCGGCGACCTCCCTGCCGCCACAATTTGGGCGTCAGGGACCGTGGGAATCCCCCCTACTCGGGCCTGGGGGGCGTCCATCACCTCCAGTGCCTGCCCCTCCTTGCTTCCCAGACGGCTGGAACAGCTATTCCCGGCCGCTCGGCCGCCGCCGGGCATCTCGGCAGCCAGCACGGCTGGAACCCGGCATCTGCGAAGCTAGAGTCGCCTGGCACTGGGCATCTCGAGCACCGACTGTCTCCGGCGACGCCCAGCTTCGCGGGACTCCCGGGCGGCTGACTTCTGCACGCCTTTCCCTCCCCACACACTCCCCCCGCCTGCCCCCGGCAGCAGGACAGGACGCCCGCGAGCTCCCCGCGCCCCCAGCCCCTTTGGCCGCCGCGATGCTGCCCTGGAGACGTAATAAATTCGTGCTGGTGGAGGACGAGGCCAAGTGCAAGGCGAAAAGCCTGAACCCAGGGCTCGCCTACACGTCGCTGCTCTCCAGCTTCCTGCGCTCCTGCCCGGACTTGCTGCCCGACTGGCCGCTGGAGCGCCTGGGCCGCGTGTTCCGCAGCCGGCGCCAGAAAGTGGAGCTCAACAAGGAGGACCCGACCTACACAGTGTGGTACCTGGGCAACGCCGTCACCCTGTACGCCAAGGGTGATGGCTGCACCGACGACGCCGTGGGCAAGATCTGGGCGCGCTGCGGGCCGGGTGGGGGCACCAAGATGAAGCTGACACTCGGGCCGCACGGAATCCGCATGCAGCCGTGCGATCGCGGCGCCGCAGGGGGCTCGGGGGGCCGCAGACCCGCGCACGCCTACCTGCTGCCGCGCATCACCTACTGCGCGGCGGACGGGCGCCACCCGCGCGTCTTTGCCTGGGTCTACCGCCACCAGGCGCGCCACAAGGCCGTGGTGCTGCGCTGCCACGCCGTGCTGCTGGCGCGAGCGCACAAGGCGCGCGCCCTGGCCCGCCTGCTCCGCCAGACCGCGCTGGCGGCCTTCAGCGACTTCAAGAGGCTGCAGCGCCAGAACGACGCGCGCCACGTGCGCCAGCAGCATCTCCGCGCCGGGGGCGCCGCAGCCTCGGTGCCGCGCGCCCCGCTGCGCCGCCTGCTCAATGCCAAGTGCGCCTACCGGCCGCCGCCGACCGAGCGTGGCCGCGGGGCGCCGCGCCTCAGCAGCATCCAGGAGGAGGACGAAGAGGAGGAGGAGGAGGAGGAGGACGCGGAAGAGCGCCAAGGAGGAGCCTCCCAGCGCGAGCGGCCAGAGGTGCTCAGCCTGGCCCGGGAGCTGAGGACGTGCAGCCTGCGGGGCGCCCCGGCCCCTCCGCCGCCCGTGCAGCCCCGCCGCTGGAAGGCGAGCCCCAGAGAGCGGGCGGGCCAGGCGCGCTGAGCCCCGATGGACGATGGACGAGGACTTGCGGCCCCAGACCCGGCCCTCCAGACTTACAGCCTCCGACCCGGCCCGGCCCGCTTCGGTCTCCCGGTCTCCCATTCTGCCTCCCTTGTGGTCTCTGTTGTTGTCGCCTCGCCCCTCATCCTGGCTCAGGATGACGCCTGAAATGCCCTTGGTTATTGGGGGATGTTCACCCCTCCCCACGTCCGGAGTTTTCCCGGCCCTCCACTGTGGAACTGCTCCCCGTGCTTTACGCCATGTCTTCTTGCCCACACTCCTCCCTGCTCCCTCCCAAGCATCCTCTAGAAGAAGGGAAGAAGTTTCCAGAAACAAAAAGGGGGGACTGGACCTTGGCCAGAGTGGAGGCAGTGACTCTGCCCCCTTGTCATAAGCACTATCCTGGAGGGCATTCTTGCAGGGAACGGATGAGTGGCTCGGGAGGGCTGAGGCCAGGCCCGTCATGGACACTGGGTCTGAGTCTTTACCCACTGGGATGAATTCTGCACTTTCTATCAGGCCTTTCTGTCTCTTGGAGGACCCCGGGACTTCACTGCTCCACCTCTGGAGAAGACTGGGATGGTCCTACCTACCTACTAGTGTCAAAGGACAGGCTGGGCAGGGTAACCAGGCAGCTGCCCAAGCTGCTGGCATTCCCTCAAGATTCCTCACTTACCCCTCCACACAGATAAGTGTGCTCCCCCATGAAGTTTCCCACAACCAGGACCAGGGTGGGGCCTCCAAAGGAGGTAAGGAGAAATTTGACACATCTTGGGGACACAGATGCCCCCCGGAAATGCTCAAAGCAAGGCTCTCAGGTAGGTCCTGACAGCAGCTGGATGCTCATAGCAGGATGAGGGAGGAGGGTGTGTTACCCACTGGAGGGAGTGGGCCCCTGCCCACCTGTCTCCACAAGGCCACCAAAGCCCAAAGATCTATGTGTCACCAACTGATCATTTTAAATAAAGTGGACCTGCTTTTTCAGCCCTGTCACCACTCCTGTGTTCTGTTTGATGCCAGGCCTGTTGGGGGGGTGAGATTATTGTCGGAAGTCTGGAGGGCTGGAGGAGACCCCAGGAAGTGGCCCCAGTTCTGGAGGCTTCTCTCTTGATGGGGCAGGGCTGCTGCCAGGAAGCTGTTTCTCTAATGGAGGAGTAGGCAGTCACATAAGCCTCCTCTGAAAGCCACTTGTGCCAAGTCCTGGAGGACCATCGTTTGTCTGTTCAGCCTCCCACAATGTCTGTACACTAGGCCCTCAGATGCAAGTGTCTCTGGGACATTTGGCAGGGAGAGGGTGCTGAGCCGGGGGCTTCTCAGGAGCCATGTATTTTTGAGAAGTTTCATGTATATGTCACAGCTTGTGGTGTAGACGTGTGTCCCCTCAGGGGTGAGAGGAGGGCAGGTTGTAGGGGAGAAGGGTGGGCAGCCCAGTGTTTTTTTCAAAGGACTGGAGAAATGTCCGGACCCTTGTGACAGTGAGTCCGGAGCTCAGATAGCTTCTTTATTCCTGTGCTGAGCTGGGCATAGATCCCAAACTTACCCAGAGTCCACATGAATGACCTCTGCCATCACCAGCCATCAATGATTCTGTTTCCTGGAGACACCTGCACAGAAGGTACCACTGCCACCTCACACTGGCAGAACTCACACAGGGTGGAGGGCCCTGCAGAGGAAAACTGGGACTGCCTGCACACCAGGGGTGACAAGGACCCACCGGGCAAGCATACCTGTGTGGCCATTGCCTCCCTCTTTTACCTTGCCAAGCTTCTGCTGTTTTTTTTTCACATTTTGCAGCAGGAGAGGAAATGACATGTCAGACGAGAGAGGTCTGGTGTTGGCAGAGAGCATCACAAGGTAACAAGGTCACAGCACGCTCTCTGGAACCAGGACCACACGGCAAGTATTTACCAAGTACTGTGCTAGACACTGGGGCACCTGAGGCCCTCACCTATGGGTCTGACACACACACACAGCCTCCCTTCTTCCCTCACTCAACTTTTGCTCTCAAGACCTGGGATAAGCTGTAATCCTAGCTACTTAGGAGGCAGAGATCAGGAGGACCATGGTTTGAGGCCAGCCCAGGCAAATAGTTTGTGAGACCCTATCTCGAAAATACCTAACACAAAAAGGGCTGGTGGAGTGGCTCAAGGTGAAGGCCCTGAGTTCAAGTACTGCCTAATAATAATAATAATAATAATAATAATAAAAGACCTGGGATAAAAAGACCTGTGACTCCACACCTCCATTTCCACTGTGTATGGTGAAGGAGGACCTGGCACCAACATTCCTCCTCCAGAGGGTTGGTGACGAGCTAAGCCAGAGGTCAGCAAGCCAGCACAGCTCCAGCTGCCACCAGGTCTGACAGGTGTGCAGGCAGCCACCAGTATTGCCTCCCCTGGCAACACTGGTACCCTGGGTGGGCTGGGAGCCATGCCCACCTAATCTGTGCTCTGCCTTGGGCATCTCCCCTGGTCTTAGGCAGGTGATGGAGGAAAGAGGCCTGCACCAGCAGCCAAGAGGACTGGTGTCTCTTCTGCCTTCAGATTCCTCACCTGTAGAATGTCAGGAGTGGGCTGAACTAGTGGTTTTCAAACCATATTCCTGGGGTGCTCCAGGAGCTGCTGTGGGGAGCATAGGGAAGATGAAATGGGGAGGCTCCCCCATCCTGCTTTAAGTAGAGCCATGTGTGTTTTCTGTTTGCAGACTGTGATTTGAATAATGAGAGTTTGCAGGTTTTTCTTTCGGGAAATCACGGATTGATACTCTATAAACCCTTGCAGCCCTGAGACTCTGAGGCCTGTTGACTCCTGTACTGTTGGAGCACCCAGGGGATCTCAAACAAGGCAATGGAGGGTGGGAAATGTGTGCGCATGAAGCTGCAACTCGGGGTCAAGGCTCTCCTGGGATTTCTGGAGCCTGTCTCCATCTCTCCTGATCCCATTCCAGTTGGCCAGACTGTAACTGATAGACACACCATTGCACGCAGCTCACTGGCTGGCCCACCACCAACCATCCTGGCTCTTCACTGTGCGCACACACCGCCATCCTGCCAAGAGGGATTGCTCCCCTGTTCCAGACACCCCGGGGTGCTTCTGCCTCCAGGCCTTTGCTCATGCTGCTTTCTGGAATACCCTTCCCCATGGCTACACATTTTATTTTCTTTTTGTTGTGGTTTTGACCTTTGTTGTTTTGTTGATTGTACTGGGGTTTTAACTCAGGACCTCATGCTTGCTAGGCAGGTGCTCTACCACTTGAGCCACACCTGCAGTCCTTTGCTTTTAGTTTGTTTTCCAGATAGGGTCTCATGCTTTCCCCCTCCCTCCTCTGCCAGCCTCAGTCACCATCTTCCTACCTCTACCACTTGAGTAGCTGGGATTATAGACATGTGCCATCATGTCTGGCCAATTTTTTTAGGACTGGGATTTGAACTCATGGCTTCCCACTCACAAAGCAGGCTGTCTAGCACTTGCTTTGGTTTTTTGCTATGGTTATTTTGGAGATGGAATCTCAAGAACTATTTGCCTTGGCTCACCTCAAACCTCTGTCCTCCCAATCTCAGCTTCCCAAGTAATTAGGATTATAGACATGAGCCACTGGCACCCAACATGGTCAATTTTTGAGAATGGGGTCTTGCAAAATTTTGCTAGGCTTGGTCTTAAATCACAATCCTCCCATCTCTGCCACCCAAATAGCTGGCATTACAGGTATGCACCACTACAACCAGCTTTAGCTACACATTTTCAATCCTTCCCTTCCTTCAAGACCCAGCTTTAAGACCCTGGGAACTTTTCTTAATACATACCCCTCTTCCTCTCCAAATCTGGGGGCAATCTCTTCCCTCAAACTCACACAAGATTTGTTCTGTGCTTTTCCAAGGCTCCTCGTGAGGTTCCACCTTGAACTACTCTTCTTATGTAAGTGTATTGTCTCTTCTACTGACAACCTTCATTTCCTGCCTCCTTCAGCACCTGGTCCACAGTAGGCCAGAGAGTTGGTGCACAGCAGTGGTTTGTTGAATGAATACATGAATGAATAAGCCAGATGGAAGAGCCATCATGGGCCAGGAAACCCAGTGGGTGGAGAAGCGTTTCCTCTGCCAAGCTTCTGCCTAGAGCTGCTGAAGGAGAACTGTCCTCAGACGCCCTGCTCAGACAGATAGCTGTTCTAGGGGAAGAGAACTGCAGCCAAAGAGAGGAGGCCAGGGAGGGAAAACAAAGCCCCATTTCCCCTGTCTGCTCTGAGTTCCAAAGCCCTAGGCCTGAGCCCTCTCAACCTTTGGCTGGAGTAGCCCCCAGCTCAGAACCAACTCTCACAATGCAGAGGAGCCCCTGGTGACAACCACCCTCCAGACACACTGGCTGGGACCACATTCTGATGGGTGGCAGGAGGCCATCCAGACAGACACAGGTTCCACTTTAACCCACAAGCCATAAACCCGGGCTTTGGTGCAGGACAAACTGAATACCAGTCCTCCCTGCCACTCGATGACTGTATGACTCTGGGCAGATCAAAGTCTTCTGGAGCCTCAGTTTCCCACCTGTAAAGACAGGAAGAGGTAAGTTGACAGTGGTTGGGAGAATGATGTAGACATCACATTTAGACCATTTATTTGGCACAGTGCCCTGTGCACACAGTAAGTGCTACTTTGGTTATTATTGTCATTTTCCTGCAGCTCTCCCAAGACAGATCTGATTTTTGAGACACCAAATATGTTGTCTGCTCACGTCCCAGGTGGACTTCCCACCAAAAGGCCCAATCATCTCCAGACTATGTAAAAGATACAACCTCATTATCCAGCCTACATGAGCCAGTGACCTTAATATAGATCAGATCTGATATCTTATACTGCTCAGATATCTTTTCCTCCCTGTAGGGTACAGGGGCTCTGCTCCAGGGGTTCTTGTCTTTGCTGGGTTTAGGAATAAGCTCAGGAGACACAGATAGTGCACACACAGGTACATTTATTAGAGAAAGAAAAGGCTGCAGATGGAGCAGTGCAGCAGAGCCTGGAAACCAGTGGCTCCCTGCTGAGATGAAGGCTGGGGCTTTTTATGGATGCTTTACTCTGGGTTAGGTAAGAGTTAGGTGAGTTCTTTCCATTGGTCAAGGATTTGAACACACGCAGGCACTCTTCAATGAGCTGGTCTGTTTGCCCCTTATGGCGAGGGGGGGGAACAATTTTGAGAGCATCGTATCTATCAGCCCCATGGCAGGTTTATGAGGCCATGTGTCTCCTCCTCAGAGTTCAAGGCTCATAGCGCTGTCCATGGGGGATGGGATACTGACTCACCCATCTGTCCCTTAGGTTCCCAGACCCAATATTCCTTAGCACCCAGCCAATGCCAGGGACACAGTAAACACTCAGAGGTGAATGAATGAAAGTGAATGAATGAGAATGCGTGAGTGAATGAGTGACAGCTGCCAGCAGTGATGTTGGCACACAAGCTTCCTAATGAAGGTCTTCAGAGTCAGAAGGAGGGGGTGTAGGGAGGAAGATCTGAGGGGAAGCTGTAGTCCAAGCCATCAAAGAGGAGACCCCAGCTGGGAAGGTTGGTCCATCACCACTGCACACTGGGAACCCTTGCAAAAATGGCCAAAGGAGCTGGACTGAACCAGAAAGTGCAGACAGGCTCGCTTTCGCTTGCCAGCACTCATTCCTCCTCTGTAGTGGAGACT